ACGAATCTAGCAAAATGGATGTATTGCCCGTACTTTTTCTTCTGTTTTAGGTCACTCTGAAGATGCTGATGTTAACAGTCGTTATGTCGATGTATAAATCTCTATTCATACTCACAAGTATGGTAGTGCTAATGCTAGTTTATGCTCTCATGGGCGTCGTCCTCTTCGGTTCCGTCAAATTCGGGGACAATCTCGGCCGACACGCCAATTTCCACAACGCATTTCGTGCAAGCATCCTTCTGTCTCGAATCATAACAGGTACAGTAAATTAAATTGCCAATAACCGTTTACTGAATACTTGCCAGTAGTACTCATTTACCATAAAATGAATAGTTTCGCGGGTGAAGCATATACTGTCTGCTATGAACAAATCCATAGAATAGCTGCTCATAGACCATGCTGTGCAGGTCTTTATTGTAAATCAATTCATTACTTTATGAGGCAATTCAATTCAATAATAATGGACTACGATATGGCGGGACAGCCATATAGAGTCAACCGGACATACGTCAGTTTGGAAATGTCTTCCGTTTCGGAAGCCATTGACATAGGGAAGGAGGAACGATTGTTGGAACAGAAATTTTAATTGCATGACGTCTCCGATTCAAACTTGAATGTATCCTCAGAGGTAGATAAGGGTAATGGTTACACTAGCTTTAAAGTATGTCCATGATGTGGTTGTTAAACCTATGCAAATCCATCAAATATTCGGCTTCTGCTTTAACCGCAGATGGCTGCGTTAAAGTATTATATGACGTGGTTGTTAAACCTATGCAAATCCATCAAATATTCGGCTTCTGCTTTAACCGCAGATGGCTGCTTTTGGAGTATGACTTAGGTTGCTTAGGCACACTTACAATAGTCATATTGCAGCCTTTGAAATTTCACAAAACTTCAAATTTATTTTCATTTGCATTAGAAGAAGGCATTGAACTCCGCTGTCGGAAAATTATTCTCTTTTGTAGGAGAGGACTGGAACAAAATAATGCACGATTGCATGATTCAGCCACCATTCTGCAAACTGCGCGAGACTTTCTGGGAGACGAACTGTGGGAACGCGCAAGCTTCGCTTGCCTACTTTTGCTCTTTCTACGTCATCATCACTTATGTTATGCTTAATGTTTTAGTTGGTGAGTTCCTTTGTGGTTATACTTTACTCATGATTAAAGTTTCAACTATAACTAACTCGTGTTGATAATCGAAGATTCAAGAGGTTTCCTGTACGCAATATATTTGTATAGCTGATGTTTTTATGATCGCTCTCTGCTAGCATGAACCAGAAAGACTAGAAATTACACTCACCTAGTAAGATGCGAGGTTTTCTTATCGTTTTCCCATAATTAGTGTGTCAAAGTAGATAGCACTGCGTTCACTTCTTCGTCAATAACTCCAGTCGCCGCTGTCTTGCCAAAGATGAGTAGATATATCAGTGAGCCATTCAACATCTCCTGATAGTGACTAATCTATTTGGGCCTGCCTTCCCAATGTTACCTTCCAAAGTGTCAAAGTCCCAACCAGTCGCGGCACCAGCCAACCGTTGTTTTTATATAAAATAGTGTGGCTACTTCTATTTGTCGGTAGTTATTTATATTTGATTAGCAGAAGACCCGTAGGCCCGTGTTGTATCTGAAGAGCTGAGGGCACGCCTCAGTCCATAGGCAACGGTGCAGCTTTTAATGGGGGCAGTATTTTGACCTCTTTTCCCACTAGTTTAACATATTTAGAAAGTCTGGACGAAGAACAGAGGACTTCAATTGAGGGAAGATTTATTTGTTGTTTGATGATTTAAAGCTGCTGATTAACATTCAATGCTTTCTTTCCTCAGCTATTATCATGGAGAATTTCTCGCTCTTTTACTCGAACGATGAGGATGCTATAATGAGCTACAGCGATATACGAAACTTTCAACAAGCATGGAACATAATAGACGTTCATCGCAAGGTAATTCAGTTAAAAAAACTCTTAACAAGTTCCCTTTTTCTGGCACGTTAATTTAATCTCAATCTGCTAGGTGGTAAACAAACTTAGGAATGTCCGCAAAGAAAGCGTGAGCTTAAGTGTAGTGATCAAATCGTTGGGAATCTTTCCTCCTTCGAACAGATGCGTACCATCTTTTCCTTTAAAAATTAAATTGTTCGAAGTTTCCTTGTGTGCCGAGATGAAGCTCCTTCGCACATTATCTGCCATTTTAACTTGTAAACACAAAGAAATGTATGTGTCCACCTTTTCAATTGCACATCAACGAGAACATTCTTTGACTTTGGTACGCGCCTGAAAATTCCAGCTACTAGCCTACCTGAGAAATTTGTGTCATACCTATAACTTGATGATGCATGCCCAAGCTACAGGAGGAAAGAGAAAGCAACTCGGCTGTATACTCGAAACAAAAAAGTTTGAAAATAACGATAACTCACCATTGATGAGTAAAATTCTGATATTTCATGGACTATTAATTAAACGTGACATTTAGAAAAGGATAAAGAACTTTAAAAGTTGTCATAGTACGGTATAACTTACTTGGATGGAATGTAAAAAAACTGTTATATTCAATCAAGGGAGCTCTTGGCCAAGGTTGTCATATAAGCGCATGTAAACAGTTAGGTCAGAACGCCCTAAATAACATCAAATTTCTGAAGCCTCTTCAAGTTCGCAGTTTTTATTCTAGTGGTCGCGCGAAAAAATGGCGTAACCTCATTTTGTGCTAAAAAATCAGGAGGACCGTTTATTTTGGTCTGAGCTCAAGTAGATTTACAGTTGCCGCTGCAAGCGCCACGTACAAAAGCCAGCCGTGTAGGTGCAAAAGTGAGGATGTGTCAGGTTTAGGCCGTGGAATGAGTAATAAATCGTCTGCCGCCAATCAGACGAGGCAGAAGCATCGATTACCTTCGAGCGTACACGCGGTGAGTTGACATCGAGCGTGCAAAATGACAACAGCGCGCAGCGAGCGAAGCTCAGCGCACAAAGGCAGCATCTTCCTGTCTGCAAGGCCAGAAAGGCACACCTTAAATTAGGCTGCAGGGACAACAGACGGAATTTAAAATGTCCTATTTATCTGCCTATGGACATAAAACCATCTGGGCTCAGTAGCAGGGGGCGGAGGGGCGGGAGGTGGGGGTGGCTTGTAGGTGGTAAGAAAATGTTCACCCCTAATCGCGGCGCATACTTACGTTTCCTCTGTGACGTGCAAACTTTACTGGCTAACAGTCTATGCGTGTGTGTGTGTGTGTGTGTGTGTGTGTGTGTGTGTG